CCTGCTTTCCTGGAAAGTTTTTTTCATATTCCAGCCAAGACTTCAAAATAGCAGAAGAATCCATTTCAGATTTTACAGCAATACCCAGCACATTCAGTGGGTGTTTTTCATGGTTAGTACGAAGGAGATAGCATTCAATAAACAAATGATTTTGTATTGGTCAGTGTACAAATGTAATTAAGACAACATTAGTGCATAATTTCATGAAGGTCTAGTAGTTTACTGTTGTTTATCTGTTTCATGCGTACATATGCACAAGGGAAAAACAAGATTTTAAATGTTTTTACAAAGGCATCATAAGTGGTATTAGCTATATGATGTAAGTTACAAAATGTTAGTACTGTATAGGACAACAGAAGCTTCATTTTGTCTTTTCCTTTATCAAAGGAGCAGAAACACTGCTATCGTAAGCATTACCCATTTTATATTTTTATCTATATTTTACTGAAAAGAAAGAAGAAAAAATATGCTGCTAGCTGACCATTTTTAAACCTTGAATGTATGTTCTACTTGAACATGCAAGCATTTCTTTTTTATATAGTTACGGTGTGCTAATTTTTAATAGTAAACTACTGTTTCATTTAGAATAAAAAATGCAAAGATGACTCTACAACTTTAAATTTGGTTTTATTAGAGACAACCATTCTTTAGGTACAGAAATGTAGTATAAAAATAACTAAAAAGGAGGAGAATACTTCTGGCAAGCTGACTTTATTCAGCTACTCCTGAAATAGCTTAGCTTGCCAAAATCCACTCCAGTGTTTGTTTCGGTAAGTAATCACTTGTGATGGCACGTAAAGCATCATCTGTACCTCTTTTATCACTAATATTAAGGGAAGGGAGTAGATTTGTTCACTGATGAGCATGTTGCTGTTGCAATTTTTAAAGTCTTAACTCAGAGCTGTTTCCTAGCAGTTTATTCAAAAGACAAAAAAACCCACCTCGTTGTCACAGAGGTTGACATGTCAGATACAGTCTGGCTGTTGAATCACTCCACCACCTTTACTCCAGTGCAGCTCTAATGTAATCCTACTTCCCTTCTTTACAAAAGCAAACTTTATTTTCGATCTAATTTTCTGAAAAGAAAATTTATTTCTTTTTGTATTGGTTATAAAATGAAGTTGAACACTAGGGGAAATGTGTGCAAATAGGGAAAAATTAATGTGTGCCAGCTGCTCCCTTTCATGTCTGATAAGATTTCTAGAATTGATGTTGTTTTCTCTTTATGATGCAAGAACGTTAATGTCTTGACCAGGAACCCCTTTTCTCTCTAAGATATCTGAGCTTCTGCAGATGTTTGAAACACTTCAAACTCATGCACTGAGCTCTGAATGTTCACTGGGCTCTCACGGAGGTAGTTGAGGATAGAAACCTCTTTGTTGTAATGGAATCCAGATCGCAGTAAGGACCTGATCTTACCTTCTCCACATCACATCTGTAGGTGAAATGACGACTCTGCTCTCTGGAAGGAAGTTGGAGCATGTCCTATTTTAAATCCATGCTTCAATGTACCGTACAGACAGTGATAGAAGATAATACGGCACAGATCTTCTTCCTGAATTTCAGTCTTCCTTATCCTTAATTCTTTACCTGTTCATGCTCAAGAGAAGATAGCAAAGCCAACCTCATTTGAGAGGGATCTCATGCTCTGGGTTGATGAAATTCATGCCTCACATCAAAAGATGTTAAGGAGTCCATTCTGTTCTTGTTGTTTTAATCAACATCTCTGTAAACTAAGGCCAGAGCGTGAGTTTGAGTAGTATCATACAGTTACCTCTGCTGTTGAATTACTGATGTGCCCCACGGCATGGTTTTGGCTGATGCCTGTGAGCACACCCCGAGCCCCAGCCCAGGGGATGGATGAGGCAGCACAAGGGACTGCGCACAGGAGTCCTGCAGATAAGACTACCAGGATTGAGTGGGAAGGTTTAGCTGGATGGACACAAGTGTGCCACACAACTTTCCAGGCCAGGGAATGATCCTGGCATGTTTTATTTATGACTGTACGCATAGCCACGCAGTCCACAGCATCAGAAATGCATTAGGAGAAGTTTCCTGAAGAAGAGGTCATTTGAGTAGAAACATTTATTTCACTTGTTACTTTAGTCCCTGAAGGGGAAGAAGGGCTTCTGAAGAAGCCCATCTGACAACAGGAGAGCTGGCTAAAACTGATTTTCTCCATGTTCTCCATTAGATTCAACAACCAGCAGTCCCTCTGCATGACTACTGGAAATCACTACCACCCATACAAACGATGGCTTTTCAATGTGTCATCCATCCTTGCACTGTTGAGAGAAGTACTGCCTGCAATAATAACTGGGCTGAAAAACCTTTATCACTAGCACAATGTTTGGAAAGTTGTCGCGTATAGATTAAAAGGCCCACGGTGAACAAAAAACCCTCACTTCTGTACTAGATACAGGAGTAACTTTACTATCTTTATAATAAAAAACTTAGTTTGACAGTACAAAATTTTTCATTTAAATGGATCCCACGAGTGTGATATATGTGGTGTATGTGTGTCGGGAATGTGAGCATTTATTTCATACAGACATACGATTGTATTAGGTTTCTAAATTGGTTACAGCACTGTCGGCAGAAGGCATGGGCTTTGTAATAAGATTTGTGTGCAGAGTGGAACTATTTTAAAAATCAAGGGTTCGATTTCAAAACGAAGCTAAGTGGAGAAGGTCACGCGAGCTTTCCTTTGCAGAAGTGTGGCATTCTCCAACCAGTACGGACCAGTTTCAAAGCTGCCATTTCGCCCTGGATTATTTGCTGTGCCACATGCCCGCGTGTGTGGTCCGGCAGTTCAGGTGTGACCAAACCCCTTGTCTTGGGGCTCGCACACAGATCAGGAAAACTGTGCATATTCGGCAAAACTGAGCTGTTCATAGCACGAAAGAAGCGGGCACAAGGGGGTGCAAGATCTTCTCAGCTCCTGGTTTCTCTCCTTACAACCTGCAGCACTGGGCTGCTTGTCTCTGTGACGGGGTTTTGGTGGATGGGTAAGTATGCGATACAGCAAAGGTTTGTGGAGGGCTCAAAAACCGTTCACGTGTTTGGACTCAAAGCCTGATCTCTGGTAAAGTACACACTGCCTTTCATTTCTACAACGCGGATACTGTCCCCTTCCGTACAGCACCTTGTCACCAGCGTGCAAGCAGGGAGGCCGACCCGCAGAAAGGCAGGAAGGTCGTTCACGCCGTGTCACCTACCGCGTCAGTAACAGCAGCACTAGGATGAGAAACTTACTCCTTCGAGTTCAGGATGTGCTTGTTGGGGCTGTGGTCGCCGCAGAAAGACCCCCGAGCTGTCTGGTCGTGGGAGCTGTAGCACCTCCGTGTTTTCAGTTCTGAATTTAATCACGTGCCTGTATGTGGCTCAGAAAAAATGACCTCTCTTCATTAATCAGGCACTGAGCGTTCGGTCTGTGTGACGTTTGCCGCTAACCAGCGGGAGGACACCCCGGCCCTTTGGGAGAGTCATCCTTCTGCCACCTCTCCCTCCTCCCGTCACCCACCCACTTCTGTCTGTCTTCACAGCTTGTCTTTGCCCCTCTCTCTCCTTTTCTCTTTCTTTTTTTCTGATCTTCCCTTCAGCGGCTTCCAGTTGTCAACGTACTGTCTTGGGGGGGGTTCGCTCCTACCTTTCTTCTATTCCCTCCCTGAAGTAAGGAATGCTGCCAGGCGAGGTGTCTCTCGGCGTTCAGCTTCACACCTCCCCACACGCACACCACTAAAATCAACGGAGAGGAGGGGAAATGGGCACCTTTCACAAATAATGCCTCAGCTCTCCGCGGCCTCAGAGCACGGGTGCCTGAGCTAGTTGCAGGATGAGCCGAAATGCAGATCGACTCATGGGCGTTCGCCCTGCAGGCAGCAGCGCGCCATGTCTCCCGCCCCGGGCGCGGGTGAGTGGCTAGCGGCCTCGTGGGCCGCC